CAGGGTCTGTGAGGGGTTATTTTATTCGGGAGTCCCACTGAAGTCCAGGTTGGCCAGGAATACTATACAACCTTCCTGTTTCAGCCTCGCAAATGCTGGAAGATTATAGGTTGCCACACCACATCCGGCCATCGGCAGTAATAGCAAGTCAAATATTTCTGGCTTTTAGGTAACAAGAACTTTTCAAATACAAACATTTCCGTAGTGGAGGTTTCTTCTTGTATCGTCTCAAAGACTTGGGATAACATCTATGTTCTAAATTTAGATTGAGGAGCTGAAGATATGGCTTAGCAGAATTCCATTCTCAGTACCCAGGTCCAGCTGCTAGCTAAGGCCTGTAATTCCAATTCCAGGGGATCCAGCCCTCTCCTGGACTCTATAGGAACCTGCATTCCCACACACACACACACACACACACACACACACACACACTAAAAGTCAATCTTTTTTTAAATGTTTTGTAGTGGCAGCACTTGATTACCACAAATTCAAGACCAGCCTGTTCTACATAGCAAGTTACAAGCCATTTTTCTGTCTCAAAAAAAAAAATCATACATTTAGATAACAAGCACTGAAAAATAGTTTAGATGAAGCAAAAGTTTCATCAATATTTTGGCCTAAAAAAATAAGACAGAAACTACAGAATAGTAATATTTTAAGAACTAAAAATGAAAATGAAGAACTTTTAACCCTGAGAGGCTGGGGAATGATCTGTGAACTTCAAATTGTAGGGGCTAGAGAGCTAGCTCAGCAATTAAGAGTACAGGTCGCAGGTTCAATTCCCAGCACCTCTAATCACCAGTAAGTCTAGCCCTGGGAATCTAACATTCTCTCTGGCCTTCCCCCTGGATCTAGAGTTATTAGTGGGGCACACACATACACATAAATAAAAACAATTTTTTGTACTGTTTTTCGAGACAGGATTTCACTCTGTAGCCCCAGTTGTCCTGGAACTTACTTTGTAGATCAGGCTGGCCTCAAACTCAGAGATCCACCTGCCACTTCTTCTGCCTCCTGAATGCTGGGATTAAAAGTGTGAGCCACCACTGCCTGGCAATAAACACAAATTTTAAGGGAGTTGGAGAAATGGTTCTTTCAGAGGCCCAGGTTTAGTTCTCAGCACCCACAGCCATTTGTAACTACCAAGGGATCTGATGCCTTCTGATCTCTGAGGGCACTGGTCATGTAACTGGTACACACACCTGCAAATAAAACATTCATGTACATAAAATAAGTCCTTTAAAAATCTTCAATAAGGGGCTGGAGAGATGGCTCAGAAGTTAAGATGACCCACTGCTCTTCCAGAGGTCCTGAGTTCAATTCCCAGCAACCACATGGTGGCTCACAACCATCTATAATGAGATCTGGTGCCCTCTTCTGGTGTGCAGATATACATGGAAGCAGAATGTTGTATACATAATAAATAAATTTTTAAAAATCTTCAATAAAATTTAAAAGCTGAGCAATAGTGCATTTAATGCCTCTAAATTAATTAATTTAATTAAATGCCTTTAGTCCCAGCACTCAGGAGGCAGAGGCAGGGAGATTTCTGAGTTCAAGGCCAGCCTGGACTACAAATCAGGTTCCAAGACTGCCAAGGCTACATAGAGAAACCCTGTCTCAACAATGACAAAAAGTAAAGCTAAGTGATCAGTGGTATCCACACTTTGGTCTGTCATAGGCTCCCTAACTGGGACGGGTGGATATGTATGTTGTGTCTCCCCAGGAAATGTTTTGTCACATGACACCCTCTTGTCTCCACCTCATGACCAGTAATTCATCTCTTCTTGAACACCTTCCCCATTCAAAACCAGACAGGAAATGGTACAGAATCACCCATTTTAAGTGAAACTGTAAGGGGCTAATAAACCACATTAATGAAGATAAGGGAAGAAAGGGTTCATGGGATGCTCACAGAAAGAAACCAAATGGATCAGAGAACCGAGAGAACAAATACAGTCTCAAAAGCTAGGTGGAAACTGCTTCAGACTGAGGCAGGCTGGCACATCCTCTTGCATTGCTTGCCCTGAGATTGTTGGAAGGGCACAGAAGCAGCCCCTGAAGTACCATGTTGGAGAGAACTGAGCCTCCGATAGCAGGGTTCCACCTTGTCTAGGATACTTCCAGTGTCTGAGTTCCACTTCCCAGACACCTTCAAGTCACAGCTAGCACCAACTTGACATCCATGTGAGGACTATCTATAGCCCACCCAGCCTTCAGACACCTGGGGGTGACCAGCATCTTGGTTGTAGCTTCTTAAATTTGAGTCACTCGACACCTCATCTACAGAAATTACATGAGCTAATCAAGGGTGGTGGTCTTTTAAAAAAATTAAGAGGTAGGAACTCAAGAGATGGCTTAGGGGTTAAAAGTACAAAATGCTTTTGTAAAAGACCTGGGTTCAGTTCCCAGAACCCACATGACAGCTCACAACTGTCTTTCACTCCAGCCCAAGGGGTCTGATGCCCTCTCCTGGATCTTTTAGCACTGAGCATATACATGGTACACACACATGCACACAGGCAAAACATACATACACATAAAAATAAGGACAAGCATGGTGGCACATACATTTAATTTCACCACTCAGAAGGCAGAGGCAGGCAGAGCTTTGTGAGTTCAAGTCTGGTCTGGTCTATGCAGAGTTCCAGGACATCCAGGACTATATAGACAATGTATTAAAAATGAAAAACAGGATCTCTGAATTTGAGGCCAGCCTGATCTACAGAACAAGTTCTAAGACAACCAAGGCTACACAGAGAAACACTCACCTCCCTCCCCCCTCCCAAAAAAAAAAAAAAAAAAAGGCCAGGTGATGATGAAGCATTCCTTTAATCCCAACACTCAGGAGGCAGAGGCAGGCAAATTTCTGTGAGTTTGAGATCAGCCTTGTCTACAGAGTGAGTTCTAGGACAGCCAGGGCTGAGAAACCCTGTCTCAAAAAACAAAACAAAAAAAATTTTAAAAAATAAAGGAAAATCAATAATTCTAAGAAATCACTCAGGCATTAGCTATTTTAATCACCTGTTTTGAGCAACTCTGGTGAAATAGTAAAGGTTAAAAGGTGAACTGTGGCTGGGCGTTGGTGGCGCACACCTTTAATTAGCACTTGGGAGGCAGCGGCAGAGGCAGGTGGATCTCTGTGAATTCGAGACCAGGCTGGTCTACAAGAGCTAGTTCCAGGAGAAACCCTGTCTGGAGAAAAATAAAATAAAAAAGGTGAACTGTGGTTATATTTTTGTTTATGATCTAAGCAATAAAGCTTGCCTAAAGATCAGAGTGCGGAGCCAGTCACACTAGTTAGCCATAGAGGCCAGGCAGTGGTAGCATACAACTTTAAACCCAGCATTCAGGAAACTGAGGCAGACAGATCTCTGTGAGTTCAAGGCTACCCTGAGCTACACAAAACTGATCCTGTCTAAAAGAGAATAAATAGAACCAAACAGTGGTAGCTCCATCTTTAATCCCAGTACTAGGGAGGTGGAGACAGGAAGGGATATGACTGGGCAGAGAGAAGAATATAAGGCAAAAGGAGACTGGAGCTCACTGCAGTCTGAGCAGTCAGTCTGAGGACAAGATCGCCCTTTGGTCTGAGCATTGGTAGAGGTAAGAACTCTAGTTGCTGGCCTCTCTGCTTCTCTGATTCTTCCACTTCCATGCCCTGATAGCTAACTCCCAGTTTTTATTATTAAGACCAAAGAGAATTTGTACTACAGTAAACTACAGATCTCTCTCTCTCTCTCTCTCTCTCTCTCTCTCTCTCTCTCTCTCTCTCTCTCTCTCTCTCTCTCTCTCCCCTCTGTCCCTCCCTCCTCTCTTTTTCCAGATTTCTCTGTGTAACAGCCCTGGCTGTCCTGAAACTCACTATGTAGACCAGGCTAGCCCTGAACTCACAGATATCAGCTTGCCTCTGCCTCTGCTTCCAAAGTCCTGGGATTAAAGGCGTGCGCCACCACCACCTAGTGAACTATAAGGAATTCTATGAAGGGTGAGTCACTTCCTGACTAGTAAGTAGGGAAAAACTACAGTCTTGCAGACTGACTATGCTATGAAAACACAGCAGGCAGTATATGGAGCTAGACATGAGGCTAAGCCATTATGAGCACTGGCTGCTCTTCCAGAGGACTCAGTTCAGTTCCCAAGACCCCCACGGTGGCTCAAAATCATCCATAATCCCGTTCCAAGGTATCCAACAAACTATTCTGGCTCCATTGGCACCAGCCACACACACAGTGAACTCACATAGATGCAGTGAAAACACTCATAAAATAAAAAAACCTTAAAACAACAAACAAAACATGGCAATGTGATGAGAGCTGATGATGTCACTTGGCCACCTTACACAGAATTCAAACCAGTCGACCTCAAAACTAGGGCATGCTGGGCATAGTGGAGTATGCCTTTAATCCGGGCATCTGTGTGCATTCCAGGCCCGCCTTAGTCACATGGTGAGACCTTGCCACAAAACAAAAACAGAAAAATGGATACCATTGTCTTCTCCCATGTGGCTTTTCACACAGCCACCAAGGACAAGGGCCTCTCATTGGAAGTGTAAGCTCACACCCCTTACTAACACCAGCTAGACAATTTACCAGTAGAGGAAACCAGTTACTACCCACAGGAAGTTGGCATGCTGCCTTATGCTTACAGAGGCCAGGAAAGGATGTTGGGTCTCTTGGAGGTAGAGTTAAAGGTGCTTGTGAGGTACCCAATGCAGGTAGTGGGAACTGAACTTGGACCCTCTGAAAAAGCAACAGGTACTCTTAAACACTGTGCCATCTCTCCACACACACCCCTCCTTAAAAAAAAAAAAAAAAAAAGACAAGGTCTCAGGTCTCATAGCCTAGGCTGATACACAGCCGAGGATGATCAAGTATACTATGATAGGGTGTGCCTCCACATCTTGATTTGTTTTCTGGGTTTGTTTTTGTTTTTTTCCATTTTAATGCAAAAGGAGTCTCAAAGTGAACTCTAAAGCAGAAAACAGAGCTGAGGCCAGAGCCACTCACTGATCATTGCTTTATTCCAGGAAACATATTGCCTTCCCTTCATAAAAGAACAGCCAGTCCCCAAGTTCACAAGCAAGGTAAAACTTAGGATTCTTTCATGTGTCGTACACAGGAGCCCAGACAGGAATGTACACACACCCCACACAGGAGCCCAGACAGGAGTGCAACACACACCCCACACAGGAGCCCAGACAGGAGTGCACACACACCCCACACAGGAGCCCAGACAGGAGTGCACACACACTCCCACACAGGAGCCAAGACAGGAGTGCACACACACCCCACACAGGAACCCAGCCAGCCAGTAGTGCACATATATTCCACAGAGAAGCCCAGCCCTGGTATACATAGCTAGTTCCAGGCCAGCCAGGGCTATATAGTAAGACCATGTCTCAAAAAAATAAAGTAAATAAAAAGGTTACATGTGCTGGGTCTGGAACTCTAGGAGTAAAGAATGTGCTAACACATGTGAAGCCCTGGGTTTGAGTCCCAGCATGCTCCTTGCAGGCCCCTGAAAACTTAAATCAGTAAGATTTAAAAACTACTTAAGAAAAATAACAACCCACATGGCTCACCTTATGGAGAGCTCAGTGCAGAGAATTTACCTTGCATGAGACCTGGATTCTATCCCTAATGCCACACAGAAAATTATACCAATGAGATATAAAATTTACACACTGCCAAGCATGATGGCAAACATCTGTAATCCCAACACTGGGAGGATAGGCAGCAGGATTCAAGTTTGAGGCTAGCCTGAGCTACAGAGCAAAACTCTACCTCGAAAAAAACAAAACAAACCTAAATTAAGAATAAATAGGCTTTAAAAAAAAAACAAAAAAAAAACCAAAGGCCCTTTTCTCTAACAGCTATAGGATGTCCAGAGGGGCCTGCAAAAGTAATGCAATAAGAGATACTGGGACCTCAGAATCTCATCAAGCCTAAGATAATCTGATAGCTTTAAAAGGCTTTACAACTAAGCCAGGCATGGTGGTGCACACTTTTAATCCTGACACTGGGGAGGCAGAGGCAGGCAGATCTCTGAGTAGAGGCCAGCTTGGTCTATAGAGTGAGTTCCAGGAGAAAGTCTTGTCTTGAAAAACCAAAAATACTTAAATTTTAATTTAATTTAAAAGATAAACGAAAAGGGCCTCAGCCTGCTATAGCTCAAGAGAAAAGCACAGGCTATGGGTGAGAAGCCGAATTCCCGTCTGTACCTGGCTTTGATAGGGTGACACAAATGGTGACCCAACCATATGAAATACGTATGAATGACAGCATGGAACAAAACCATATGAATGACGTATGAATGAGAGCATGGAACAAAAAGCTTAGTTAAAGGTAGTTCTGACTCCATGCATGGATCCCTCAACTTCTGTGACTTCAGAGAGAAGCCATGGGGTGGGATCAGTCCTCACACTTCAGCTAAGAATGGCTCCCAGGCAGCCCCGTCAGGATTGGGCAATCAAGTCCACTTTGAGGGCAGAGCTGGCCCATCAGGCTTGGAAGCAAGAGATGGAGAATAAATTGTTAGAGGGTTTCCAGTAAGAATGGAAACACAGAAGGTTACCTAAAGTCAATTTAAACAGCCTCAGAAGAGAAAAACTGGAGGTCTCATAAAAGGAAAAAACAAAAGCAAAAATAACCCCAGAACAGAAACAGAGCAATGGATCAGATGCATGGTTATCCCTGCTGAGGTGGCTATCTGTCCCACAAGGACTGTGCCTCACTGTATCCCAGAAGTTCTACATGAAGGTCATCTTCTTCCCCCAGACTCAAGTGAGATGAGAACCCAACCCAACTTCACCAATCCACCAATCCATGGCCATAGCTCCTTAGCTGACCCTCTTCCCCAAGGTTCTCCACTCTGGCAGGATGCTTCCGTTTTACCGCCAGGCTCGATTGAGGAGTTTCACCTGTGCCAGCCTCTTTGTGATCATGGTGGCAAAAACCAGGCCAAAAAGGACACTGCTGATTAGCACATAGTCATAGTCATCCTTCAGGACATCGAACTGCTTGGATGGGTAAACTCGAGTTTGGTAAATGTCCAAACCGTAGGCCACAACCTGAAAGACAGATAGAATGAGAACTGGGAAAGAGGCAGCCAGTGAGTCACCAACACCTCAGACTCAGTCATGAAGAAGATGGGATTCTTAGGGCACAAGGCCACACTGCAGATGCCACATGGGGCCACTCACCAAACAAGTGGACTCAAGCCCTGATGGTGCTGTGTAGATGCCTCGCATTCGAGAAACTGTCTGGTTGTAGTTTATGAATCGCTCTGCATGGATCTGCACATCTGGAGAATATGGGATCAGGTTCTCCTCTCTGCAAAACACAGGAGAGGGACAGGGACTCAAGAAGCTGCTGCAAAGGGATCTCTTTCTTGGCTGCCCTTCCTGGGACCTGGGAAGGCTCCAGAACACACATCAAAGCTTGAATCTCGCCAGGCAGTGGTGCCGCACACCTTTAATCCCAGCACTCGGGAGGCAGAAGCAGGCCGATCTCTGTGAGTTCGAGACCAGCCTGGTCTACAAGAGCGAGTGCCAGGACAGCCTCCAAAGCCACAGAGAAACCCTGTCTCGAAAAAAAAAAAAAAAAACTTGAATCTCCTTTGAGGCCTGCTTGAGATAGGCCAGTACAAATGCAGAAGCTGATTGAATGGTGGAGGGCTGTATGGAAGGCTGGCTGGAGAATAAGGTTAAGTTCCAATTTGATAAGAATACATAACACAAGCCAGGCATGGAGTTGTACACTGACAAATCCCAGCACTTAGGAAGCTGAGATAGGAGGACTGCCTCAAGTTCAAGGCCAGCTTGAGCTACAATGATTTCCAGGCCAGCCTGGGCTAGTGATATCCTGTCTCATAAAACCAAACAAAGGAAACATCACACAGCTGGCTAGCATTGCACACCAGAGAGGAGAGTCAGGCCATTTTCAAACCAACATGCTGCACCTCTGGTAACTCATGCTCTCTATTCATCTTCAAAAAGCCTGTTACCCTTCTTCTGGCTCCACCCCCTCTTTGTTCCATGCCATACTCCTCTGTTCCTCCCATTGTCCATCCTTCTGCGTGTCCCTAAATGAAAAGACTTCAGAATATAGGGGAGGAGACAGGCCCAGATGATAACTGGAGCAGTCACACTAACGGTGAACAATCGACAAGCTTCAGGCTTCTCCACTCAATCTGCCCCTTCCTCACCTTCTTCCCTTCCTAGGTCTCCACCCTTCACTGTTCCTGCACCACTTGTACAGCCTTCAGACTCACAGACATGACTTCCTCTGCCTGGAATATTTTCCCTCAGATACCATACAGCAAGAGTCTACACCAACCACCTTCACATCACCTTTCCCAGTGGTCCCCAGGGTTTGACCTCAAATTCTCCCACACATCCTCACAGCTGTCCCGTGCTCTTCTCTCTTTAGCATTTAGCAGTGAATAACACTTGACTTGTTACTTATATCATTTCCCACCCAGACACCAGCTCCAGGAGGCAGAGCTCACAGTCATTTGTTCACCTCGGCCCCTAGCATGGCAGACTGAGAGCTATTATCATCAGTGGGATTAAGTTACTGATAGTCAGAGCCTTCTGCTCACAACAGTCTCACCTGCTTTGTTCTGTTGGGATCTCAGGACGCCGGGGATCCAGCAAGGCCTTGGGGAGGGAAAGGATTGCTCCAGAAGGCAGCCCAACTACACAGGAAGAAATAAAGGTTCATATTTACCTAATCCTGAATGAGGGCCAGTTACATAGAAGTTTACGATTAAGAATCTCACATAATGGGGCTGGCGAGATGGCTCAGAGGTTAAGAGTACTGGACTGCTCTTCCAAAGGTCCTGAGTTCAATTCCCAGCAACCACATGGTGTGGCTCACAACCATCTATCATGAGATCTGGTGCCCTCTTCTGGTGTGCAGGCAAATATGCAGACAGAACACTGTATATGTAATAAAAATAAGTAAATAAAAAAAAAAGAATCTCACATAAAAAAAGAAAACAGGTCATTGGGCTAGAGAGATGGCTCAGAGGTTAACAGCAATGGCTGCTCTTTCAGACGTCCTGAGTTCAATTTCCAGGACCCACATGGTGGCTCACAACCATCTATAATGAGGTCTGGTGCCCCCTTCTGGCATTCAGGCATACAAACATTGCATACATAATAAATAAATCTTTAAAAAAAAAAAAAAGGTCATCAAGGTCCCATTAAATACTCAAAAACAAACAAAATGAAACCACTGAAAACAATAAGATAGTAATTCACAAGGGTATGAGCGAAGGTGCCTGGTTTCTTTACATATTCTAGCTAGCCTGAGGCCACGTGGGCTACTGGGAAATGCAGCCAGGAAGGCAGAGGACCATGCATTAGACAACACCAGTTTTGTCATGGTAATCAAAGGTCCTGTGATGCCCAGAGCTAGCTTCCTCCTGCTTGACAAGTAACACCCAGCACCTGTCAAATCTAAGAATCCCAAATGTCTTGGATAAACTCTATCACTGAGTGCCAATCTTAAGACTCTAACAAATAAGTTCTCTGGTTTCTAGTCAAGTCTGTACAGGCTATGTTAAGAATGGCAATGGGGGGGGGGGGGCACACAAGTGGGTAGAGATGGCTCAGTGGTTAAGAGCACCGGCTGTCCTTCCAAAGGGCTAGGGTTCGATTCTCAACTCCCACATGGCAGCTCACAACTACTTGTAACCTGTAACTCCAGTTCCAGTGAATCCAATGCACTCTTCTGGCTTCCCTGAGCACCAGGCACACGTGTGGTACACAGAAGTACCCAAAACACCCAAAGACATAAAATAAATTTTTTTAAAGTTTTAAAAAAAAATGACATCAAGAGCCAGGCATGGTAAAGAACACCTTGAATTCCAGCACTTGGAAGGCAGAGACAGGATCTCTGGGATTAGAGGCCAGCCTGGTCTATATAGTGAGTTCCAGGATAGCCAGGGCTATGTAGAGAGACTCTGTCTCAAAAACAAACAAAATCAGAATGCTGGGCATTCAAGAGGTAGGGCAGGAAGATTAGGATCACCTTGGGCCACATAAGATCCTATCTCAAACAACAACAAAGAATGAATGACATTAAGAGTCAGACACAGGCCAGGAGTGGTGTCTCACGCCTTTAATCCCAGCACTTGGGAGGCAGAGGCAGGCGGAGATCTGTGAGTTCGAGACCAGCCTGGTCTACAAGAGCTAGTTCCAGGACAAGGATCCAAAGCCACAGAGAAACTCTGCCTCGAAAAACCAAAACCAAAAAAAAAAAAAAAAAAAAAAAAAAAAAAAAAAAAAAAATGGTGGGGGAAAGAGAAAGAGAGCCCAGGGAACTCCACGCTACATCAAGTTTGTAGAGGAAGGGAAGAGACCAGCAGAGAGCAAGGAGAGAGTGGGGGAAGGGTATAAATCAGAGCAAAGAATGTGGGGTGGGGGGGGGGGGGGGGGGGGGGGGGGGGGGGGGGGGGGGGGTTAGGGATAGATTTCTGAGCTTCCAGAAAGCACCAAAGAAAGTAAATGGTTCATGAGAATGGAGGACTGAACAAAGGCCATCAAAACTGAACTAAGCAAGAAAGAGAGCACAGTCTCCCTGTTGACAGTGCATCCTCACTTCAGTGTGAACCCAGTCTCCCTGTTGACAGTGCAATCCCACTTTGGTGTGAAACCCTCCACTCAACACTCACTGAGTAAGTGCCGGCTGGTGATGCCCCGCTCTGTGATGGTAGCCTCCATGGCACTGATGGAGGAGGGGAAGATATAGGACTGCTGGAGGACCTGGGGCAGCTGGGGACGGTCTAGGGAGCTGAAGGCGGTGGCATTATATTGCTCAGTGCCCTCGTAGAGCTCCAGGGCGGTCAGCTCATTGCGCCGAGCCTTAGAGTTCCAGTACTGGTACTGTGGGCAGAAGGAGAGGCAATCTGGGTTTAGTGCCGAATCAACTGAAAAGGGAATGTTACACTACAGATGCCATTCACAGCAGCTGCAGACCAGGAAAGAAAAGACCCAGCTGTCCCCTGCTCTTCTTCCTGGTTGTCTGGGCTGTCCAAAGTTGTCCATGACACGGGAACTGCCAATGTTCTCTGGAGTCATAGTCACAGCAGCCACCTTCTGGAGTTTATGAGGTGCACTGTTCTGAGCTAGCCTGGAGGAGACTACTACTGTCTCTATCTCACAATGCAACCAGAGAGCTCACAAGACAGAAGAGCAGAGAGAGCTCAAGGCCAAGCAGTCAGATCTGGCCCCAGGTCCCACCCCTATGTGGACCCTGTGTTACCTTCTGGGGGGGGGGGGGTGCATTGAGAAAGGAAAGTGGCTCCTGTTTCTGGGGAGAACATAAGACTCAGGGTCTCCTGAGCCACTCTGTGTCCCTGGTAGTGACTCCTTACCACCACCCAGTTCTCTGAATGCACGAGGTGGACAGGGCCCTTGGCCTTCTTCTGCACGGAGGAGTGGATGATACGGCCAGTGACACCATCAATGAGGAAGATGCCAATGAAGGTGCGCTCATGGTGAACGTCCGTGCTCTCTGTCACCACAGCCAGAAGGTTGGGGTTCAGACTCTAGGGAGAGAAACCAAGATGACAAACTTTAGGAACCATGATAGAATGTCACGTGCTTGGCTCTTCTGTGAGCCCTGGGGCCTGAGGCCAATATGGAGCTCAAACACTTGGCAAAGGAACCAGCAATGCTGAGCAAAACAACTCCTATGGTTTCTCAACTCAATGCTTGCTTTGCATATTCTGAGGACTGGGGCCACACTGCATACCTTGCATGTCCCTTAATCCTTTCCGAAACCTGATGATACAGCCACCCTCCACAATGTAGCTCTGAGGATCAAACCCAGCTGCAAGTACCTTTGTCTGCTAAGCCATCTCGCTCACCACCACCCCCTTCTGAGACACAATGTCACTTATGTAGTCTAAGCTGGCCTTAAATTTACAATCCTCCCATCCACCTCAGCCTTCTGGGTGATGCAATTAAAAGTGTGCCACCCTCCTATAAGCCCACAAACCACCTCAGTGACTTTCTGATGGACTGATTAACCTTTAACCCCAGAAGACTGTAGTCATACCTCTGCTATTAATAAAACTAGCATCTAGCCGGGAGGGCAACACAGCAAGCACTGGGAGATGAGCAGCTCACGTGAGGTCCACAACCAGAGGCAGAAGGTACACTGTTTAGGCTGGTACATAGCTGGGTGACAGAGTACTTGTAGCGTGACAGATCCCTGAGTACTTCTACAGCACACACATACTTGACAGACAGCAAACCATACACACAGGAGTCAAATGACACCAGAATTTCAAAACTTCCTTTTCCTAAAGCCTTACTTGGGCCAGGGAAATGCCTCAGCAGGTAAAGATACTTGCCACCAAGCCTCCTGTCCACCTGAGTCCAAACTCCAGGACCCACATGGTGAAAGAAGACAGCCAACTCCCACGAGTTGTCCTCTGACCTTCCATACATGCCCATCCTCACATATACAAAATAAATAATGTAACAAAATAATAAGTAGGACATGTTAGTGCATGCTGTGCCTTTAATCCCAACACTCAGAAAGACAGTGATCTCTGTGAGTTCAAAGATATCCTGGTCTACAAAATGCGTTTCAGGACAGCCAGGGCTACATAAAAATATAAACCTAAGCCGGGTGTTGGTGGCACGTGCCTTTAATCCCAGCACTCAACAGGCAGAGACAGTCAGATCTCTGTGAGTTTGAGACCAGCCTGGTCTCCAGAGCCAGTTCCAGGACAGGCTTCAAAGCCACAGAGAAACCCTGTCTCAAAAAACAAACCAAAAAAAAAAAACAAAAAAAAAACCATACAGATTAATAACTAAAAAACAGCCTTCCTCATTGCCAGGGTGTGGCATCGTACCTTATAGAGCACACTTCGGTCCCCCATCACCCGGCCCTGGGAGTGCACGTGCTCGCTGCTGCGTTTCCCCTTCACCTTGACAACCCGCTGCACTTCTGGGGGAATGGTGAGCTCCCAACTCAGTTCCGCAGTGAGATCCTAGGGAAGAGCAAGAGCACTTGTGATTAGGAGATAGACAGGTCAGGGCCAGAGATGCAGACAGAGGCATCCTACCACTGAACCAGCTGGCAGTGTGGTATCTGAGGCCTGTGTAACTAGAAGGACCACGAACAGACTCGGCTTAGGCTGGATGGATAGGTAAGTCAGTGATGTGCTTGCCAAGTTTGACTCCCACACCCAGATAAAGGAAGTCTGGAGGTGGCTGCACTTGTAACCCCAGCACAGGGAAGGTGGAGAAAGAAGGACCCCAGTGGTTCACTGGCCAGCCAGCCTAGCTTACTCAGTGAGCGCCAGCCGAAGCAGTGAAAGCCCCTACAAAGTGAAACTACAAGGTGGTTGGCACTTGAGAAATGACACCCAACATATGTTCTTACACCCTCACACACATGTATATACACACAAAAGCAAATCCTGTGAAGAAGTTTAGAAGTCTCTATTTAATAAAGGAAAATATAGCTGGGTCTACATAGTGAGTTCTAGGCCAGCCAGGCAGGGTTACATAGTGAGATCTTGTCTCAAAGAGATACTAAGCTGGTAAGATGGCTCAGCTTGCCGCTGAGCCTGACAACCAGAGTTCAGTCCCTGAAAGCCATATGATGGAAGGAGAGAAATGACTACTGCAAAGTGTGCTCTGACCTCCACATCAGTGTCATGGCATGTGGGCTCACGCTTGTACACGCATATACACACATACTTCCCTACACTCATGTAGAAAAAATAAATGTAATTGTTTAATTAAGAAAGAAGAGCTGGAAAGATGGTGCAGCATTTAAGACCACTAACTGCTCTTCCAGAGGACCCAGGTTCAATTCCCAGCACCCACATGGTAGCTAACAACTAACTGTCTGTAACTTCAGTTCTAGGGGACCCAACACCCTCACACAGACGTACATGCAACCAAAATATCAATGCACATGAAACAAAAATAAATTATTAAAAAAAGAAAGAGGGGCTAGAGAGATGACTCAGTGGTTAAGAGCACTGGTTGCTCTTCCAGAGGACCTGGGCTCAATTCCCAGCACCCACATTGGTAGCTCACAACTGTTTCTAACTCCAGTTCCAGGCAAACTGACACCCTGTCACAGAGTATATAAGGCAAAACAACAGTGTACATTAAATAAATCTTTAATAAGAAAGATACTATTGGGCTGGAGAGATGGATCAGCGGTTAAGAGCACTGACTGTTCTTCCAGAGGTCCTGAGTTCAATTCCCAGCAACCACATGGTGGTTCAATTCTCACAACCACCTTGGATGAGATCTGGTGCCCTCTGCTGGCATGCAGGCAGAAGACTGTATACATAATAAATAAATAAAATCTTTAAAAAAAAAAAAAAGAAAGAAAGAAAGAAAGATACTAAAGCAAGGAGTTGGAAATGTAGCTCAATTTATAATCCCAGATGTTAGGAAGCTGGGACAAGAAGATTGCCATGAGTTCAAAGCCAGCCTGAACTACATAGTAAGACTCTGCCTCAAAATAAACAAATAAGTAAATAGGGTACCTGAAAAACAATGAAGCCCAGCTGGGCAGTCAGTGGTGATGCCCACATCTTTAATCGCAACACTCAGGAGGCAGAGCTAGGTGGCTCGAGGTCAGCCTAGTCTACAGAGCAAGTTCTAGGACAGCTAGCCAAAAGTTCTAGGACAGCCTAGTCTACACAGCAAGTTCCAGGGCAGCCAGGGCTGTCAGACAGAAACCCTGACTCTCAAAAAAAAAAAAAAAAAGACATTAAGTGAAAATGCAAATAAATGAGATCCATGTAGATCTGTTCTCTTTGAGAGAGACATGATTTTATGAGACATGTAGATGCATGTGTCCATACAGCTATGCTTACAGCATGACCAACACAAGCAAACAAGGCAAGGACAGCTGGGAATGGGATATAGGGATATGTGTATTTGCTCAAGGCATTTTTTTTTTTTAAATAGGGTCTCTCTTCATAGCCCTAGCTGCCCTGGAACTCACTATGTAGTCCAGGTTATCTTACACATGTAGGTGTTTTGCCTGCATATATGTCCATGCAGCACAGGTCACAAAAGAGTGTTAGATTCCCCTGGGGATGGAGTCACAGGTGGCTGTGCTGCCATGTGGGTGCTGGGAACAAACCCATGTCCTCTGTAAGAGCAGTCGGTGTTCTAAACCACTGAGCCATTTCTCTGGCCCCTCTAATATTTTTAATAGATATTAATGGGGACCAGAGAAATGGTTCAGTGGTGAACCACTATCTGAACCAAGAGCACTGCTTGCTCTTTCAGAGGACCCAGGTTCAGCTCCACTTCGGAAGGCTCTGATCACAGTTGTGCAACCCCAGCTCCCAGGGACTCAACGTTCTCTTCCTACTTCAAATGGCACTACACACACATGCCCTTACACACAGACACATAATGAAAAGTAATAGTTCAAATGGCACTACACACACATGCCCTTACACATAGACACGTAATGAAAAGTAACAGCAACAGCTGAAGAGGTGGCTCCACAGTTGAGAGCACCAGCTGTTCTTCTGGAGGACCTGGGTTCATTTCCAAACACCCATTTGACAGTTCACAAGTCTGCTCTGCTGTCACAAGGGATCCAATAACTTCTTCTGGCCTCTAAGGGAACCACACAAGCAGTGTACATACACAGACATGTATGCAAAACTCCCATATGCAAAGAATAAAATCATAAAAATAAAACTTAGAAAATTGTTTCTTAGGCTAAGTATCATGACCTTATTGTTTTACATTTATTTGTTTGCTTTTGTGTGTGTGTGTGTGTGTGTGTGTGTGTGTGTGTAGAGGTCAGAGAATAACTTGGAGGCATTAGTTTTCTCCTTCCAACGTGTGGGTTTAAGAGACAAAACTCAGAGTGAGTGCCTTTACCTGCTGAGATGCCTTGCTACCCTCATCATCTTACAGACATGAAAACAGGGCTGTAGACATAGTATGTTCCAGATCACAAAGTTAGCAAGCAATAAAGCTGAAGCAATAATCCCAGCAGCTGTATCTAAGCTGCTAATTGCTGTTCTCCCTTTACCTCTCAAGACATATTAAAGGACAGAAGAAGGCTCTCTGGTGACCAAACACCACACAAAGTTCCCTCTGGATGGTCCTGCTACCAAGGCCAGCCCATTGTGAACTTCAGAGCCAGCGTGCGTGGACACTGGCAAGAGCTGAACCTCTCAGAGAGAACTTCAGACCCAGCGTGCATGGACACTGGCAAGAGCTGAACCCTTCAGAGCCAACTGACCCATTGCTGGAGAGTCCAAAGCACATGTTCTGCTACAATTTGGTCAACAGCATCACTTTTCTTGGGGGGAGGAGGGGTGTTTTGAAGCAGGGTTTCTCTGTGGCTTTGGAGGCTGTCTTGGAACTAGCTCTTGTAAACCAGGGTGGTCTCGAACTCAGAGATCCGCCTGCTTCTGCCTCTGGAGTGCTGGGATTAAAGGCGTGCGCCACCATCACTTTTGTATAAATGCTCAACTCAACCCTCATCCCTGCCTCCTGCTCCATCCTCAGAGCAGCATGATACACCCCTTCCTGGGCTTCAGGATCTGTAGGAAACCACCATGCACTGCTCTAACTGGAGCACTGAGGGCCATGTTCACCATGAAGCAACTGCCCTCCCAGTGCTGGGAGACATTTGATTATACTAGGATCCCCGAGTTTGTATTTCCATTAATTAAAATTAACCTGGGGGGGGGGGGGGAACACAGGGGGGGAGGAAGGAGGAGAAACTGTGGTTGGTATTTAAAATAAATTTTAAAAACAGAAAAAAGAGGGGCTGGAGAGATGGCTCAGGGGTTAAGAGCACTGCCTGTTCTTCCAGAGGTCCTGAGTTCAATTCCCAGCAACCACATGGTGGCTCACAACCATCTGTAAAGTAGTCTGGTGCCCTCTTCTGGCCTGCAGGGACACATGCAGGCAAACTGCTGTATACATAATAAAGAAAGAAAAGAAAAAAGAGGAGCTGAGTTAGCAACTAGTTGATAGATAGTAACCACAGAGCATCAGAGGGCATCTGGAAGAGGTAGAGAAGCGCAGGAAGGAGCAGGAAGGGATTTGGAGTGTTGAGGCTTTTTTTGGGTTTTTTGTTCGTTTGTTTGTTTTTCTGTTTGTTTGTTTTTCGAGACAGGGTTTCTCTGTGTAGCTTTGGAGCCTATTCGAGGCTTTTTTTGTTTGGTGGACCAAGGGATGCTTTCTTTCAGAGACACCAGCAACGAGGGAGGGTTAGCTAGGTGCTACTCAACCTTTCTAAGCTATCAGGCTTTCACCCCAGCCTTTAAATATTGAGTGTTACTTATAAGTAAAACAATAGAGATTTACTTAAATCTACCTTTAGCCTTTTAGCAGAGCCAGTGCCTGGGGGAACAGAATACCTACCAGGCTGCAGCCTGAGGGGCCAGGCTGCCACCAGAGAAGCAGGCCAGGAACTGTGGAGTCGCAAATACTGGCTCAAATAGCATTAGATTAAGGCACAGCCACTGTGCTGAAGATAAAACATCAACCCAATATAAACAAATGGGTGCCTTTGAACTGGGCCTCAGGGCCACTGTTTAACCAAACACCAGGAAAGACCCACAGTGCCCCAGAAAGACAGCCAGATGCTTCTTCCCTACCTTCCGAAGTCGATATCCACTGAGGCGCCCGTGCTCTGCATCCACCAAGTAGAAGAAGATGGAGGGGGCAAGTTCATGCAGCTGTCGTAAGACATTCCGGGTCGCTGGAAAAGCTGTGACCTTGAAAAACCCAGGTAGCCCAGAAGTGTTAAATGCAAGTTCAGGAACCTTGAAGCTCATTTCTAAAAAGCCATTAGTGCTTGCCCACTAAAGAAAGATTTAAGCACAAAACAGTGGATCATAAAACAAACTAGTCACTGGATCTTTTTAAAGCTTAAATGCGGCTCTGTTAAGAACCTCAGTGTTGCTGGGGGTGGTGGTGCACGTCTTTAATCCAGCACTTGGGCAGCAGAAGCATGAGGATCTCTATGAGTTCCAGGACAGCCATAGCTTACAGAGAAACCCTATCTCAAAAACCAAAAACCAAACAAATGAAAGAACTTCAGTGTTAGGGGCTGGAGAATTAGCTCAGTGGTTAAGAGAATGTACTGTTCTTCCAGAGGCCATGAGTTCAATTCTTAGAATGCAGCAGACTTACAACCACCTATAACTCCAGCTCCAGGGTGATCTGATGCTTTTGGCCTCTATGGATACCTGCACTGATGTGCACATACAAACACATAATTCAGCTAATTAAAAAAAAAAAAAAATGGCCAGGTGTGGTGGTGTGCACATTATGAACCCGGGTACTCATAAGGGCAGTCATGTTGCTGAGGGTGGCCTGACAACAAACACGTGCTGTCTGGACGTGGGCTACCTCTGACAAGTACGTGTCTGATAGCCCATCCCATACCCAGCTCCACACAGAAGACTCCATCCCCCCAAGACAAAGCACCTTGTATTCATCATCCACCAACAGCAACACCTTGGCATAGTCTTGATCCATGACTGGGAGAAGCAAGGACTGCAAGATGGGCCGCTTCAGCACTGGGGGAGCCACCTGGCTCCACTTGCCAAAAATGGGGTTGAAGACAAACAGAGAGCTCATTCCTGTTTCCTACAATAGGCAGAAAACAGTCACATTCCAACACAGAAGGAGCGCGCATCCTACAGGTGACCCTGGCATGCTGAGGCGTCCAGTGGGCCACAAGGAACTTCCCTGTTTTCTGCCATGTTAGTAGGAAGTAAGCGCTTGGCTGAAGATGACTGGTCCCCTAGGCTGATGTGAAAGGGAAACAAAGGGCTGATCTGCTCTTCTAGCTAAGAACTGGGCACGATAAAGAGCAAATCAAAATCAAGACCAGGCCAAGGCAGCAGTGCACGCCTTTAATCCCTACACCTTCAGATCGCTGCCAAGTTCCAGGCCAGCTTGGTCTACATAGCTAGTTTCAGGCCATCCCCCAAAACCCAAGCCAAGCATAATTCAGCAATCCCATGATTGCCGGATCCAATAGAGGATCTACCAAACTCAGCCTCATAATACAGCTAGAACGGATCCATGAAAACCCGCTCAAATTCTAGAGGCAGAAGTCATAATAGTTTTGTGCCCTGTTTCCTCTCACAGAGAGAAAACAGCACTCAGCTATCAGGGACAGCCTCCCTGTGAAGGGAGAACACTGGCTGATGGAGGAGCTGGTCCCTAGCTAGTTCCAGAGCTGCGTGGTCCCTCCATCCAGGCCAGAAAATGACAGAAACAAGACTTCCAACCCAAGAGCTTCTCATGGAATGCCCAAGGCATGGCAGAAATTTCAACTGTGAAACATGCAAAAGGCAACACATGGCAGCTCCAGTCAGTGTGCCTGGCCTCACCTTGTCCTTCACCAGCAGTGTGCACTGAGGGGGGTGGGGAAAATGAGCAGTAGTCCTCTGGACCATCAACTTAAAGGAGGAATCTGGCTTAACATTGGGCAGATACTGTTTCCACAGGATAGTGCCAGAGCTGCTCTCGATGCCAAAGAGCTGCAAGATAAACAAATACTTGACTCACAACTAGAAAGACACTGAAGAATTGATTCGATTCTTGCAGAGTGGAACAAAGCGTGCCTGCTGCCGGTACCTGTGCCTGAGGTTTGCTTCCTTCGGCCCACATGCTCACCTTGCCTGAAGCTGTTACCATCACCATCATCTTCTGCAGGTTGAACTCATCTCTGGCCAATGTGTCAATGTTGATCTCATTCTTAATCTGGCTTCGAGGTTTCCGAGCATCGTAGAACATTTTCCAAAGGTGGGAAGTCCAGGCCTGGAGCAGGATAAGCTGAGATGACAGGCGTTTCAGGAACATCCCCAGCAAGCCATCTGGTGGTGGGGAAGAAGAAAGGCACGCCCATCAGACTAGGAGTCCAGCAAGGAGGTATGTGTGCTCTCTAGGAGGGACTTCTCCCTCTTCTGTAGAACCTCCAGTCATTCACACTCCAGGCCCTAAATTCAAGGGGCAGTCTGTATAAGATGCCAGCAGTCACACACAGCCATGCACAAGCTTCCAAAACCTCCTTACCTGGCTCTTAGGACTTCACCTACCCAGAATCTTGTCAGAGGAGACTAAAAGGTAAGAAATCAGCCATGCAGGATGTAGCCATGCTGGGATGACCAGAGGAAGGCATCTAGGTGCCACAGCAAAGCCAGAGACGTGTGAGTCTCAGGTGCAGTGGGAGCAGGTGTATGCATAACTGGAGCTTCCATCTCCCATTGCTTCTTTCTACTTTCTTAATCTGCTCCCAGCATCCCTTCCTGCAACCTATTCCTCAGGCTATCACTTCCCCTTGCCCCTGACTCCACTGATGAGGCATCTCCCTGAAAGTGTCCTCCATTAGAGATGGGACAGGTACATGACACCATGGTAAGAAGGAGGGTCTCAGGAGTCTGACAAGCCTGAACTGAAATCCAGGCTCTAACCCCTACTGCTGTGTGACCCTGAAAAATGTGCCTTTGGTACCTCATCTATTAAATGGCATGCAACTCAGAGGCCTGTTACAAAGAACAGATCCTATTACATCCACTCGGGATTGGGTGTGGTGCCTGGTGCGTGGGAAGTGCTCATGAAAAGTATTCGTCTTTAGCCAGGCGGTGGTGGCGCCCGCCTTTAATCGCAGCACTCGGGAGGCTGAGGCAGGGGGATCGCTGTATTATCTTTGTTCATCTCTTTTCCACCAACCTCAACTCAAAGAAAGGCAGAGAGCAAGTCACAAGCAGAGCAGTCCACACAGACACGGTGTGCGTCTCACAAGTCACAAGCAGAGCAGTCCACACAGATACGGTGTGTGTCTCACAAGTCACAAGCAGAGCAGTCCACACAGACACGGTGTGCGTCTCACAAGTCACAAGCAGAGCAGTCCACACAGACATGGTGTGCGTCTCACTGATGCAAGTCAGAAAAACAATTAACCAAAGGCTAGCCATGTGGACAAGCAAGGCGCAATGGGCACAAAAAAAGCAGGATTTACCTTGAATCGCTGGATCCAGCAGCAGAAATAGACAGTAAAGTCAGATTAATTCTCAGCTTAAGAAAACATACAACACCTAGCAGTACAGCTGACCCAGAAGCCCTGAACAGCAGCCTACTGGATAGCTGACTGAATGGACTGGGGGACAGGGAGGCGGGGAGCAGGACTGGACTAGAGAGGAATGAGTCAAGTTCATCAGGTGACCATCGATGGAGCCATTGCTGACTCAGGGAGCACAGGTCTATATCCAGCCAGGTAGCTGTTGCATTTGAGACAATGGATGGAAGTGTCTGATATGGAGCCTGACAATATGGGGCCAGGCAATGGCACTTGCAACTAACTATAGAGTGAAGACATTTTTGTCTCATGATCATTCACCATAGGGACTAAGTGAAATTGCAGCTACATAAACCACTAGGCTACTGATGTTCTGAAAACGAGCCATGGGACTCCTTCAAAACATCTAGCTGAACCAGAAACAAGGGGCACAGTAAGGTCCATAAACCCAGCTAGCCCTCCCTGGAGCAGCCTCCCTGGGTTCATACCTGCCTTCTTGCCAAATTCTCCTTCCAGTTCAGCCTGTGCCCCAGTCAGGGGGAGGTCCACCATCTCCAGACACACCACTTCTGCCAGGGACTCCTCTCGGCTCCACAACACCACCTTCCCAGCTACAGGAAACCAGTTTGCAAAAGCTCAGCCTGGCTCTCCAGCCCTGAGGAGACTCTTACAGGTGGCTCAGAGCTCAAGTCTTATGTAAAAGATCTCATGAGGGTGGGGTCAATAGTCAAGTGAAGAAGCTTCTATATCTTACTCAATGCCCCTAAGGAACTGAAAAAATTCTGTGTGTACACTCTTGCTTGAACATTTCCCAAGGCTGTGCACAACCCCCTACCCACCTCTACCACACATGACTGGAATTCAGAGCAGGCAGAAACACAAATGACTGTATTGGGCACTCACCTAACTGCTGCAGGAACAGCTGCAGGTGGTCCTGTGTCTGCACTAAGGCCCGGTAGCCCACTGAGTCATCCTTCTTCAAGAACACCTGGATGTACAGCTATAAGCCGGACAGTAAGAAGCCAAATGGCTCCAAGGCATTGGACCCCAAAATTCAAAGGCTTGGGGGTTGGCTGAGGTCCAAGTCATGGCATGATGTGATGTCTAGACACTCAGTGATCATCTGGACACCAGCAAAAAAGCACACATTCTTCAGAGCCTCCACAGCAGTGAGCTGAGGCTCTCTCTGATTTGTCCATGAAGGGCAAGTACTTGATGGGACTGTCATCCCTTCATGCCCCAGTTGTACCCCAGGAGGCCAGGCCAGGACTACCCCAGAAGCTGAGGGACACAATTCAATGTCCCCAGAAGAACACTGGGTAAGACGATGAGTACATAAGGGAAGTCAGTCTGGAGTCATGAATCCCAGCAACTTGTCTTGCTAACTCTGTAACTCAAAATGCTCTGGACCACGGGCACATTCACAAACCAGGTCAGTAACAATCCACAAGACTACCAAGATGCCCTATGGATTAACATATAAACAAAAGAAGCCTCAAGCATACCAACAGCAATAGGGCTGAAGGGTCAGAGAACTTACTGCTCTTGCAGAGAGCCCAGGTTCAATTCCTAGTACCCACATGGCAGCTCCCCACTATCTGTAACTCCAATACCAGGAGATCAAATATCCCATGTACTTACTCATGTGGTGCACATGTATACATGCAAGCAAAACACTCATACACATTTAATAAATAGATCTAAAGCAACAATAGCAGCAGCAGCTTTGCTGTTATCTATAACCAGGCAGAGGCTCTGGAGGAACTAAGAGCCTTGTTCTGAAAGCCCTAATCCAGGGCAATAGCTGTTGCCCAGCCCCAAGGACATGAAGTCCACAGGACAGAGTGAGAAGGCCAAGATGTCTGTCGCTTACCCGCTCAGGACGAGTGCCCTTCTGCTCCAAGCTGAAGGAAATCGCAGTGTCTAGCAGCCGCCGACCTGTCTCCACTAAGTAGAGGTTAATGGTGTAGGTTTGGTTGAAGCAAGCCAGAGAATCCTAGAGGTACACACAGCACAGGTCAAGAATGAAGGTCCCTATAGTGTGTCCAGGGACAGTATAAATCCCTAGAAAGGGTAGAGGCCAGAAGGGAAACATGCATAAGAAAGAAGAAAGTAAACAGAGCCAAATGATATGGCAGAAACAAGGTTGCTGACTGAATAAACAAGGTCACGACAGTGTGTACCCCAGAAGGGAGCCAAAAGCCAGGGGTGGCAGCACGAAGATTTAATCACAACACTTGAAACAGAGGCAGGCCGATCTCTAAAATTGAGGCCAACCTGATCTACAAAGTGAGTTCCAGGTCAACCAGGGCTACACAGAGAAACACTATCTCAAAAGACAAAAAAACAAAAAAATAAGAAAACCAGCTGTGTACAACTACTATGTAAGTTTGAGAAGGCAGCCAGTGTGTACACCTGCCATGTCCATCTCATAGGAAGCCAGTGTTTACACTGCCATGTCATCTCATAGGAAGCCAGTGTGTACAACCACCATGTCCATCTCATAGGAAGCCAGTGTGTACAACCCCTATGTACAGGGAGGCAGAGAGTTCCCAGATTGGCATTGACTGTCAATGAGTTAAGAAGAAAAAAGCTCTGAGGCAACAACCAACACCTGTGCCTCCCGCCAGAATGCTTCATTGCCACCAAGTGCACTGTAGAATGCCACCTGGCTCTGCCAGCTATGGAGACCCCAGGGGATGTGGAAGTCGAGGCTCAGAGAAGGACATAAGGAGGGACAGATCCCAGGAGCCCACCTCATCTTTCTACAAGAAAGGACACGACATGCCACTTAGCTGACAGTACCTGAGGCTAGGAACTCAGTTGACCTTGGCTTCTTTGGGTGGCCTCCTGTGTCTCCAGGTCTGCTACACCACCCAGTAACACATCCTGTCTGCCCAATGTCACACCCTACCTGTGCCCTAGATGTCTCAGGAAAGCTCGCCGTACTCCCATCTCCAGCACTACCAGGTTTTTGCTATAGGAAAGAAACAAGGACACTCATGTAGGGAGTCACCCTAGCCCCGCCCAATAGTCCTGGGGCAGGTACCAGGTGGATCCGGGGACTCGCCCAGAAGGGCGTGGTGAAGGAAAGCCGGGGTGACGTAAGGGAGCTTCTTAAGGGGCTGCATGTGGGGACCCTGGTTCTCTTTTGTTCTGGCCGCGCTGGCTGGTTTCTATAACCTAGCTCTGGCCTGTGTTTCACCTTGCTGTCTTCTGAAATAAAGAGACCTTAATCCTATACCTGGCGCCTTACTTCCCAGACACTTCTGTCTCCTCAGCACATTCAGAAGGCAGATCTTACCTCTCATGCCCCACCCCCACAAGCCTGAGCCCTGAACAGTCTTCAGTGAGAGCAGGGTAGCCACACTGGGAGCCCATTCCTATTGAGGAAGAGACTGTGTGGAAAGAGAACTCATCTTTCTGCAGGCTCCTATCCATGAAAAGGTGGATGTACCCCAACTTCTGACTGTAAGGGTTCCCAGCAGAGATAAGGAAGCCCCACGTGCTAACTGTCACACATGGTACTCACTTCAGTACGACAAGTCATGACCGCAGACACTGTCTTTTCTCCAGTGGTGGCGAAGGTCACAAGAGTGGCCTGCAATGAATGTTAGACATCAGCCCAGACAACAGGGTTTAAGGCGAATGTGTCTTGATTCAAAGTTCTGCCTCCTCCCAGCTCTGTCCTGGAAGAACTCTGGTCCTAGCAAGTATGCTGCCTGCAGTTACCTGGGGGAAGTTTTTGAGCAGAGTCACAGCACCGTGGTGGTAGTGCAGCAGAGCGTAGTGGCCCGGAGACAACTGTAGAAAGAACTGGGCCCGAGAAGGAGCCACTGGGCTGGGCTGCGTGGGCAGCACTCGGGACTGGAATCCACTTCCAAATTCTAAGTCAGGAGACTGCGGTTGGGGGGGGGGGGGCAAAAAGAAATGAGATGCTTACCCACTCCCAGACCATCAGACCAGCACCATGCTTTGCCAGGCAGCAGTACTAAACTAGGGCAGACGGCTCCAGAAGCTCCTGTTACCCAAAGGAGACTATGGTCTACCCTGACAACAGCTAAGCCAGAGGCCTAAGCTCTCCCATGGCTGTCACAGCTCAGAAAAGCAACAGCAATACCACAGGGCAATCATGCCAGCCCCCTACACCCCACAGGTGACAACATCTCAGACCAGGAAAGCAGCCTCTCACCTGTAGGGGGATCTGCCGCAGTTCCCACTCTGTCTCCAGAGCCAAAGTGTGGAGGGAATGTGAGCTGGCATCTGGGCAGACCAGGACAGCCTCATCAACCACACCACAGGCCCCAGTGAGATGCTGCAGCCATGGAGTCCAAACCCTAACCTGCAGAGAGATTTCACAACAGACTCACAAAGAGCATCATGGTCCCTCTCAGCAAATCAACAGAATTGCTGCTGGAATCCCACAGAGGATCCCAAGCTAAAAATGTACAGCTGGCCGGGAGGTGGTGATGGTGCACACCTTTAATCTCAGAACTTGGGGAGGCAGAGGCAGATAGATTTCCGTGAGTTGGAAGGCAGCCTGATTTAACAGTGAGTTCCAGGACAGCAAAGGCTACATAGGACCCTATCCCAAAAAAAGAAAAGAAAG